TGGACAGGTCGCCAATCCATCGCAGGGCAACACAAAGACAAACAGGACAAACCACCATTCACACACACTCACACCTAAGGTTGAATCTAGATAAGCCAATTAACCTAACAGTCATATTTTTGGACTGTTGGAGGAAGTCGGAGTACTCGGAGAGAACCCATGCATGCACAGAAAGAACATTGCAAACTCCATGCAGAAAGATCCCGGCTGTCAATCGAACCTTCTTGCTGCAAGGCAGCAATGCTACCTAATGCCCAACTGAGCAGCTTAAAATAAAATTAAATCTTTTGAATAACTGCCAATGATCAATTACATTGAATTTCATGTTAAATGAATATAACCCAGTATTTTAATGTGAATAACAACTATTTTGGCATTGATCAAACTGTTGTGCAGCGTATCTTTCCACCAGATGGCACCAGCTGACAGAAGAAGAAAAAACAAACCGCTTCCTGTCTAATTTCTGCCCTGCTTAGCTCAGGAAAAACACCACCTATAATTTGATTTATTGGGCTTGGACCCCTAGATGCTGACTTAGTGTTTTAGGGTTACTAGAAAATCATTTGGTATTAGGAATATCGGTCTGTAAAGGGGTACATTGTGTATTCTCCTAAATGTCCTTTAAAAAAAAAAAGCAACTGATGCAGATTTCTGCCGTTGGGACTTCTGTGAGATATGAGAATTCAGTATCTCGTTTCTGAAAAAGTAATAATTGTAATACATAACTAAATTATAATGCCACTTTTTAACTATTGTTCGGTTTAATCCACATTTGTAATACAAGGCTTAATTCCTCTATTGGCTTAAAGCAGCAGATCAAGGACATTCTGTTCAGCTTCTTCCAACTGCAGCTCTCTATGATCATTGTGACCTCATCAAACCGTATTACGCAACAGTCCGATGGGAGGCATTGATCTGTCTCTGTGATTGATTGGCCAACCAGGAAGGAAGCGAGCGGGGAGGTCAGGGTCTCTGGTGGGGCAGATGTGTGCCAATGACAATGTGAAGTGGAAAGTTTGGACTCTTTTAGATTATGCAGCTGAACATCCTGATCCCAGTCCACTTAGTTGGGTTTATATGTGGTGGTCATGGAGGATAAAAATTGATTTAAGGAAATTTCTTTTCTGTTATCTGGGAAGAGGCTCTAGTAGATGTTAGAGTATATTTTTAAAGATAATTAGTGGTGTTCATGTGTAATATTATACCTTCAATCTGCCATTAAGATAAAGTGACACAATGATTTTATGATACTAAAAGTCACCTAAATAATGTGAAACATGACCCTGTTAAATGTATTTAAATTCGTGGAGCATCAAACTTGATATTTGTTTAAAGCAGAACAATGAAATTGAATTACAGTTGCCACATCACCAATGGAGGAATTTGGATAGATGTTCAGCTTATTAGTTGGTTCAGATGTTCTAGGGGAATTATTTTGCAGCCTTGCACAGACCTGACCCCAGTGTTATAGAGGGAAACAAGTAAGTACTATATGAATCCAATTTCTCATTGTGTTGCAGCTCTTTACAGCCAGAGCTTTTTAGATGGAGCTGGCTGACAGGTCAGCTAAGGAGGTATATTTTCCTAAGCTGGAAACACTTTCCCTCTAAATTAACTGCTTTGTTCAACTTTGAGTTGAAAAGGGGATATTTTGTGTTATAGTGGGACCAAATTTTCAGGGCAACCGGTGTAGCCGAGCTTGATTAAATGTTCCATAATCATTTCCACACCAACTGCTTCTGACTTCTCTGGTCATCCATGCTGTTCTAAGGAAGTTTTCAAAGAGTGGGACTCTTGGGGTTGTTACAATATACAACTCCTGTTGTGTATGATCGCCACCGTCAGGTTCCAGCATGAAAGCTAGACCCTGTTTATGGATGAGGCCAACCGAAGGTCTTAGCCAGATTTTAAAACTACTTAAGTCTGATGTTAAGTTTCTTTTTTGTAGCTAGTTTTGTAGATGTTTGGTTGTTCATTATTTTTTTTTTCACTCAAACCAGTTTTTCTTAGTCTTAATTTTGAACTTTTCCTGGAAAAGATAAAAACCTTATTTCTTTGTGATTGTTTTATTAGGTATTTTGTTTCATATTTGCAGCTGCATTTGGGACCATTTTGCTACTGATGACCCAGATTGGTTTCAGTGTTTAGCTATTGGACAGATGGCCTCACATCACTCTAGCACTCTTTGTTATGGCCACACATCTTGACTTGGGTTTCTCTCTCTCTATGGTATGTTGTTATACAGTCCAAATCCACACTTGAATCTAATGGCATATATCCCTTAGCATGTCATTCAGCTCTGGGGAGGCCTGGTAAAGAGAAATTTCATTCAGGTGTGTTGGAGAAACGATACATCTAAAAGTTGCCCTAGAGGACTGGAATCGGGCACCTTTGCTCTAGAAAAATGTGGTTTCTTTCAGATTCAATTTCCATTCCAAACCAAAGTCCTGCTGCAATTTTTTTTAGCAGCGAGATTCAACTTTTAATCTTGCAGATATTTGTATAATTGATTTTTATGACTTTTAATCATTACCATACCATGTTAAATGAGACCTGCAGGGTCTCATTTGTGCAAGAATGTTCTAACTACACCATTGTGAACTTGAAATCTTTTGAAAAGTCTCTGTTCCCAAATTGATGGGTAACAGCTGATGTTTTCCCCTTTTTTTCTTCTTTTTTTGACATTTTGTTAACACACACCTGGATGCTCCAGACAAGCAAACTGCCAAATGTACTGCCTTTATGGAGGTGGTCACACTCTCTGATGATGAATAGCAGCACCTGTCTGATACTTTCACACATGGAAGTAATAAGGGCCTCTATTTTTTTTTTTTTATACTGCATTTCCAACCAAAATTCTTCTTTGGTAATGCTTTAATATTTTTTATTTCAACAAAAACACAGAAGGTGGATCATTATTTATTTATTAGATGTAATAATACACAAGTATTAAGCAATGTTAAGCAATCTTTGCATTCCTTAAAAAAACAGAGAGTAAGGAGTTTGCTACCCTCTTTTGGCAGGATGTTTATGCTCGGAGAAACACGTGCTGGAAGTCATTAGTATTCACAGTCGGTTGGAAAAAAAACGGATGGTCCATCAGGTGGAACGAGAATATGCAGCCGGTTAGGTTAAGCAGCCTGAACGAGTGTCTGTTTACTTGTCAGGAAGGAAAAGATTTCTTACATTACATTTTGAAGGTGTGTTTCCATATAGCCATAAAAAGGCATAGGAAAAGAGAAACTGTTCATATTCTCAAGAAATATACTGTACCCTAAAAGAAGTTTGGTCAATAAGACAAAAAATGTCATTGAATTTTACCAATCTGTTTGATAGTTATGCATCCAGCCATTCTTTTCCAATCTAATTTGATAGTGTTCTAACCAATAAATATTCGTAAAACGGAATACCAATACTTTGACCAAAAAATTGTTTAATTAGTGTAATAACATTGAAAGCCAAGACCAGAGGCCCTGTTTAAAAAAGCAGGTTTACCATAAACAAAGTTTTTCTTACACCTGAAATCAGGGTTTTCTATTTCACCAAGACAGTTAACTCATCCACTGTTTCTGTTACTGTCGTGACAGTAACAGAACAACCTGGTCTGGAACAAGTTTTCTCCAATTAACTCTGAGTGGTACCACAAAATACATGTCAGATTAAATAATACTATTTATACTTCAGCGATAGCATCTAGGTGTTACTTTATTGTATGTCTTTTACCATATCCGTTGGTTGTGCTGTTCTTTTTACATCTATTTGCAGGTGATAAAGCAGACCGAAGATGTTTTATCGTTATCTCCCTTTTATCTGCTCTTTCTTTCATCTTTTTCCATTTTTTTCTGTTTTTCCTTTCCTGTTCTACTTACATTGCAGTGTCCATATAATCTGTAAAACTCCCTGCATAATTATAATAAAGCTATTTATATGCATAAATCAAGAGGAACACTATGGCGATAGCCGTACTGCTCCACTTGTGAAAGTAAAATCTGTTGGGCTCTTTTATGGCATCAAGACAATTATTCTTATTGCCACATTGCCAGACAGGACACTGTAAAAAAAAGAAAAAAAAAAAAAAAAAACTCTGAGTGTCCTCTGTTTCCGGCCTCCTTAAAGCCAATTACGATCTATTTCCTGATTTAGTCTGGAGAGTTTTGTCTTAGCTTTGCGCTAACAATGAAAAGAAAATCAGTCACTGGGTCCGTTAGACACATTAGGTGTTAAAAGCACAAACATAGCATGTTCTTTTGGTGAAAATAAATTAATTAAAAAAATGAGCTGCATTAACTAGCAGGGAACTCAATATCTATATTAAGAGTTGTCTTCATGAGGGCTACCATTTCACCCCAAAATCCATCACTTCAATCCAGACCTTGTCTATCCTAACATTAGCAGCATTACACAGATGTGTGATAACAGCATTATGGAAAACTACTGCACAGTCAGACAGCACCAGTCCCATAGAATAGTTTTGTGCCTCCTCTACTACTTCTACTTCTATTAGGTTTCATATGGCTGATTATATGCAGCTAACAGCCTCTGCCACATCTAAAACCATAAGTTTTAAACTATGCTTCAAAGCTTTACTTCGAATGAATTTCACGTTTCAGTCGCACGGATTTCAAGATGTGATTAAAAAAACACATTGACTGGATGAGATTTTCTGTTGATGGTTTGTTTAATGCTCATGAAGATCCAGATTTTTTATTTTTTTATTTATTTATTTATTTTTTTACAATACAAGAAGAACTACTAAAATACATTTTAGATTACCCATAAATATATTAATAATTTTTCTGGGACATAAAAGGAATTACCTCAGGGTTAGGATTATGATTCATATGGTGATAACAACCTACTGAGCCTACTGGCAGGTAGGAGTCTCAATTTGAAGCCATACTTATAACCGCTAATAATGGCCATTTAATGTGATGATAACTGTGGCGTTGTTGCTCTATCTATTAAACACATTCTCCAATATTTTTTTTTTTCAAATGCTTCATTAAAACCTTGCTCCAGTGGGGTGAAATAGCCACTTCCTTTTGTCTCTTGTCATGGTGACTCATCGAACGGGGGCTGCACAGAAAATGGGTTTTCATAGTTGTTACGCACATGCTTAACTCTGAGTGGACCTACTCAGAGTTGATTAAACTAACTCACGACAGCTGTTGTGAAACCAAAAACCGAGACTCTCCAACCTTTTGCTAGATTAATTCAGAGTTGAGGATTTGAGTTTGAGTTTCTTAAACCTGCTTTGTGAAATGTGCCTCAGGACTTAAACCACCAGCCCTTTAGTTGTGGGGAAAACTCCTGCATCCCACAACACAGTCCTCACAAATGTTTAATGGAATTCACTATTAGTTAATTCTAATATCTGAATGAAGGTTAAAGCCAACATTTGCATACTGTACTGTATACATAACTGTTATTGTTTTCTAGGTCCATAACTATTACACACTGCATTGGACTGCAGCCAAACAGTCAAATTATTAAACCATCAGTTCCCGTTTATATTGGTTGTTTGGTTAACCAATTACATTTATTGATCCAAAATCAATGGCTTGGTCAGTTGCTGACCAATATGTTGGTCAATCTAACCAAAACTGGTTTAACCAACCACACTGGTTTTTCCAAACAATCCATTCTTGGTGTGCATTAGTCTATCAGGGTTTGGTCAAAGATTGAAATTGTTTAAGAGATTGGAAATTGGATATCATGTAGAGACATGTGGAGATGTCTATCCAATATCGTAATGGCAATACCTTAATGCCAATAATTATCTTGTCTTCTATTTGTATGTTTCTAGGATTCCACCCTTTCAGACTTCTGTGTTCCTAAAGATTATGGTGCAGTTTATATCAGCTACTTCATCCACCGTGACCCAGAGGTTTTCCAGCAACCTGACAGCTTCCTGCCGGAAAGATGGAGTGGAAGGTAAAATTTGTTTAGTAGATTCACAGTTCTTTGCATATTCTGCCATGGGAGATTTTAAATTTGTTTGCTGCTACTCTCCAAAGTCTATTTTATCAGAAATGACCTACAAAAAGCCCTTAAGGTGAGAAAACTGTTCAGACATAACAATATGTTTATACATCAGAGCTGATGACTAATCTGATGTAACTAATGAATGCCGTACCGTGCAGCCAGGGTTTGACTAGTTAACAGACAATGAGTTAAGCTATCTCCATGGTGAAGCACTTTAGTGTTTTCACTTTAAGGCAACACTCTGTGATTTTTAGCCACAAGGGGTCCTGTAACTTCCAGGTTTACAACTGACAACTAGTATCAGTATGCCAGTATCAGGCAGGGCACCGATACTGCACTAAAATGGTGGTATTGGTATCGGCGAGTATCAACATATAGGGCACCAATACCATTTTTGAGAGCCTGAAGTTTATTCAACTTTTGTCACTCATTCCAAGTAGGCAATAGAAAGTTCTACTGGGTTCACTTTGTATTGGTCTTTTTTCCTGCTTCATAAAGGTAGGCAGCAGCATGACAAAGCCATGATAGCAATTAGTTTACATCCAAATATTATGCAGTTATTCATATATACACACACACACCAGTTTCAAACAGATGGTATCGTTATGGTATCGGTATTGGCTGATACTGCACAGCCAGATATCGGGTATCGGTGTCGGGGCCAAGAAATGGCATCGGCGCAACACTACTGACAACAGTTCTTTGTTGCAAAATTACCAAGTTTTCCGGACCATAGCGCACAACTCCCTATAAGCTGTGCCCACATTTTTTTTTTAAACTCAAAACTTACATATATCAGCCACACCGGGCTATAAGCCGCTGATGTCTCCATCAAACCTGCAGCAGTGAGAGCTTCTACTGAAAGATGGGGCTTTGTCAACTCTTTATTTCAGCTCTGCAGGATTTCAGTCCAAACTCTTCATTAATTCGGCAGCTTTAATGTGGCAAAAATGTTTTAAAAATGTGAATTTTGGACATTTGTTTCCCCGTTGTTCCTGCTGCTAGCATGTTATTGTGCTAAATGAAAACTAGCCCCTTATTCTTTAATTTCCAACTTTGACTCCCCCCCCCCCTGGCGGTTAGGAAAAATCCACAGAAAAGCCACACCTTCTTATAGGCTGCATGGTTCAAAGCGTGGGAAAAAAGTTGCGGCTTATATAGGTTTTCCCCGTTGTCATTAAAAATCATTAAAAGTCATTAAATTATTATTTTTTAAATAAAGGCCTTAATTGGAATTAAAATTCATTCATTTGTGATTATAGTGGCATTTAAAATACTTTATAAAAAAAAAAAGTTTATAAAAACAATTTCTTCAGATATATTCTATCAGATATAACTGGTTCCGCATGTTTGCGCAGAACTGGAAGTTCCGGGAGTCTCCCTGATATCGATAGTTGTTCACGGATGCAAACGAGTCCGATAAATTATTCCAGATTTTAGACTTTACGAGGTGCTGTTTTTTTTTTATGCGAGTGAGAGCATTCAGACAATACAATAATTTTGTGCATCATGTGCGGATTAGAACTACTTCGATGGCGCAGGCACAACAAGAGAGGGCGGGTGTGAGGATGAGGTTGCTTGTGAAAGCTGCATTAAAAAGCATTAGATTAGAGTTGCTCATTTCTGTATAAACCCTGTTATAGTCCGGAAAATGCGGTAAATATGCTACAGTATGTTTGTTTTTAGTGGATGCATCCTCTGAAGCTCCCAGCCTACCTGGACTGGGTCCTTCTAAGGTTGTGAAAACAAGGAGCCCGGAAGAGTTGGGCTATATATTAAAACATGTCAAGCCTTCTCCAGCTGTCCCCACCCTCACTCAGCGTAAGCTCTGTAGCCTAGTTGGATACAACTGTCCTGTCCTTCCAAACTGCCATAAAGAAGGCTGCATTTGTCGGCAACATACCAAGGAGTCTTTCAATCCGTACAGGCCACGGCGCACCGCTATACCGTAATGGGCCGGCGAATCTGGCCTTTGAATCTGGCCTTCGGCGGAAGCAGGCGCGGAATTTGAACACAGCAATTGTCTCACTTCACTGGCTTTGAATCTGATAGCAGAACCAATATGTACCAGCAGATTGAGAAGTCATTGAGAGTTTTTTTTAAAACAAGTCTACATTTAGTCCATCTACATTGAATCTAAGGTTAGAGAAGCAAACATATGTCTGATCAGATTAGTGCAATATCTGTAGTGTTGCCTAAGAACAACTTTTAGCTTATTTAGTCTCATGTTTATTTCATAAAACCACTGAGTGAAAAATGCTTTTTTGTCTCAGTATTCTTCGTGGCACAGTTATTTTTTTCAAGCACCGGATACCATTAATAAAGAAGAGGAAATTAAAGAATCGTGCTTTCTTTCAGCAGCAGGGTTTTTCTTTTTTTTGTATTGGATATATTGTAGTGTAGTCAAGGACATCATTTTTTGTTAGAAAACCAATTAAGTTGCAAAATTACATTTGAGATTACAGAAGGAGATTTTAGCAATAAAAGTGAGTAATTGTCAGAAGCATCTGTTTTTAAAGACATGAGACATTGTTTGTACTGACAAACAATCTGGGAGCTTTACCTTGATAAAACCACAGAAATAATAAATATTTAAAGAATTTATTCTCTTCTTACATAAGGAAAGATGTCCATACTTCTATCTGTCTGTCCATCTATTAACTCCTTTCCTCTTTGATTTATTTTTTGCAGGTTCCATTTTTAAAGCCTGTGTTAAGATATCTGCCATCCACTCATTATGTTTGTAGTTATACTTTTAAATTGGGTTAAAAGTACAGGGAAGTCTAGAAATGTGTTTCTGGGAAAATATGGAATTTTGACAAGTGGAACCTTTAGGTTTTATGAATCCAGGAACTAAGCTAGAAATATAGACATACCGTATATCTACATAAAGATCTAAGAAAGATTTACATCTAATCTTGTAATAGAAGGATGCGTCCTCATACTGTGTTAATATCACATTCCAGGATGTCCATGTTCCAGAATAAAATCCAGTGCCATTATTAATGCCCCAAGCATATAGCTTACAGAGAAAAGGGACATCTTTACTAATTCTAAGAATCAAATCCTATGAGGTCACCGAAAGTATCACCACTCACCTTTAAGTATTTAAATTGTTTTTGAGATGTGATGGAATTATGTTGAAGTTACAAATTCATCTTGCATTAACACATTGTATATTACCGCCAAAGCAAAATTTTTGTGTGACATCAATGCCAATTTTTGAGTGAAGTAAACCCAGTGCATTTTTTCTCAGTGTGTAAAGTCTGCACAATATGAACCCAGCAAAAATCCTCATCTTTCTGTCTGTCTGGCCTCTGTTCTTTTAGTAAGATATTCTTAAAAACATTGCAAGAAAAACAAATGGTAAACTCTAGAAATGTAAACCTTGAAGAGAGTCTGGATACATTCAATCTTATCTGGGTCATTAGCCTATTTTCTCTCCAGAACGCTTTTCTCCATGTATCCACCTCTTCCATTCACTAGTTTCTTCTCATTCATGCTTATTAATACCCTGGTAATATATGCATCTGTTGCTGTGGAAACTAGTCACATACCTTAAAGCATTCTTTGCATGCCTCAGTATACACTGTTGGGTATTTAAAACAAGGAGGACATCAATATTCAGATTCTAATCTGTTCTAAATCTAGTTAATTAGATGCTCATTAGTTACGGCAAAGATACTAATAAAGGCATGTTCACCTCTGCTTGTTAATATAAAGTTTCTCATAGCAGAACTGCAGAGCAGCATATAGTTTGTGCTGATAGTATAATAATGTGTTTCTTTATACTTTTGCTCAAAAATAAAGGAAAGCTTCTGGTATGTTGTCAGATTATGACAAGTATGTTTTTCCATAAATGCAAATAAGTTAACACCTTTAAACTTATTTGCAAATCTAATTGAAACAAATGCATCCTTATCTGTATATTGTTGTTTTACAGAACAAGAAAAAATTCTAACTATTATATTTAAGGGAACCCTATGGTGTTACTGGGTTAGAATGGCTTTTTTTTTTTTGCACACAGCCTAAATTCTTTGTGCATTTGGTAAAAAAAAGGTGCATACAACTTCCTCTGAGATTTTGGTATTTATATGAGTGCATCCTGTATTTTCAGAGATTTGCCAGATCCCCCACACCTTTAAAAACATTGATTCATTCTGCCTATTTTGTCTTTTTTCCGGCCATTCTCTGCAAACCCAAGAGATTATAGTAAGTAAAATTCCCTGTAGATCAGCAGGTTCAGAACAGTACACATCAGGTACTGAAAGCAATCTCAGTTACCGTCACTAGGATCCAATTTGTTTCCCAATCTAATGCTTGCTGAGCTCCATCAACGGGGTCTATGCACAACTCCACTACTCCTCAACTAAAAGCAGCTTTTTTGTTTCCTATCTTTCATTACTGGATGAACTGATTAATCCAGGTGGTTCTGGTCATGGTAACTGAGATCAGGCACACCAGGAAACAAAACAGCTGCCTTATGTTGAGGAAGTAGTGGAGTTGTGCATACATCCCATTCTGGTGAGTAGATCTAGCATGTTGACTCTTTGTCTTTTTTAAACCATGAAGAATTTTTGTGGAAACTGTCGGCTGTGAATGTACACAAAATACCTTGAGAATAAATAGAACTGCGGTAGAAGATACCCTTAACGGACCTGCAACAACCTCAGAAGAAAAAAGGAAGGATATAAAACAGCACTAACAGAACAATTGAAAGAAAAGCTCTTAGCAGAAAAATTAGTGTGCTTGTAGATGATATAAAACGTTTTTGGAAAAATCTAATGTACATAAAAGTCTGCTACTCAAATAAAGTACAGCTTGTTCCAGAGCTTATCCATGAAATGGGCAGATGGCCTGTCTGATTATCAGTATGGGCATCTGTGTGTGTCTGGGCAGGAGTGTTGTACTCAAGGTTTTATGCGGGACCCCAAATGTCCTGGGGTTCT